TTACTTTTTCATTATTTCCATCATTAAGTGCGTTTATAATTGCAAAAAATCCGCAATTATTTTCACTATAAATGTTTTCTCCCTTTTTATAAGATTTAAAAATTTTTAAGTTATCATTATTCTGATTATAATTATTGACTTTGTCTGATATATTTTTATTATAAAATTGTTTAATCGTGTTTATAACTGAATTATGTTCTTCAGTTTTCCAATCATTAGTAATATATTCATTATTTTGATGGCATATTAAAATATTAATACTGGTGTTTATAAAAATCTATAATTATTAGGCGTAATAGATCTTGAATATCTACCTCTAATATTTCGCTCACTCTCCCGACTGCGCTCTATATCCTGGCCATAACCATTTCTAAATCGTCTATCATAACTGTTTTCTCTAGTTCTAGAATTATTCACGTTAAAATCCCGATCTCTAGAATAAGACCTATTTCTCCTGTTATCAAAATAATTCCTGTCTCTACTGTTATTTCTACTACTATATCGCCTTCTAGGGTGCGGACTCTTGTCTCTATAATCATTAAAATTAATAAACATCATGTTTAAAATATTTTATTCTTATTGCATAAAATTAAATACTTTTTTTAATTATAAAGTGTTAAAATGATTTTCATTAGATATATTTATGTATGACTTTAAAAACACTTAAACAAATAGTCATAAATACAACTATTTATCATATGGTAAATAATTAAAAATAAAAATAATTTATAAAAATATATATAAAAGATTCTAACAGTACAGGAAAATACTTAAAGTAATTATTCTATTTTAGTAATAATGTTCTGTTAGTATTTATATTAATAAGACAAAAGATGATTTTAATAAAAATTATATCACTATTTCACATTCATTTAACGTTTGGATTATCCTTTAATAATTTACATTGTAATTTTATCATGTATATGTTGAATTATTTTAATCATAACAATCGATATTTAATTGAAATCAGTGAAAACATAGAAATATATGATGTCCATAGTTTATGCAAGTATGGCGACGCAATAAAAACTCATGGCGAAATCATTCTTGTAATGTTGGATGTTTTAAGGGAAGCTAATAAATATTTATATTCAACAGAACTAATGTCAATAAATTTATACTTAAATAACGTATCCGAATATGTGCAGTTTTATGCAAGAAATAATGACGGAATATATAATATTTCCGATCAAACTTCAAGTATTCTTAAAGGTTACCAGATAGTTCATGATTTTTTTTTAGCACAACTTACTAAAGTGAAATCTAAAATGTGCAAAAATGAGATATATGATCAAATATTTATTTATTGTCCTGATTACAACAAAACAGGAGAATATTCTCCCGAAAATATTCAATATGTTGCAAAAAAACTTAAAAATCGTTTAATACAAACTGATAAGCAACAAAACGACACTGATGATAATATAAAAAACTTACAATACAGTGAAATATACATTTTATTTAATAAAGCTATTGAAAGGTCTAAATACGAAGATTTTTCACCGAAAAATTTATTATTTTATGACCTTATGACGAGTAATAGCGAAATATCCGAAAAAGATATAATGAGAAATTCTCAGGATAAACAATATCCATTGTTAACAAACGAACAGAATTTATATGATTTAGACGTAATTCGATTTGCACCACTTACAGTAATTTGTCCTGATAAAAGTCGCTTGACCCTTTTTGACATATTTAGATACGTCAAGTATACTTTTTATAGAAAAGATATAAAAGTATTTCATACACTAATACTAGCAGCAACATTTCGTCCTATTGCTTTGCTCGTAAGACTGTTTATCAAAATTCTAAGTTTATCAACATACA